CTTCACCTTGTTAATATGCAACACTCTTTGCTGCCCAGGAAAAAACAGACTGTCAGGGTGTTCTCACCTATCATAGGCACAATTCTGTGTGACTAAATTTACTTAATCACCTCATGAAATGACCTTGCTTCAGTCACTCTACTTGAGCAAAACAGTCCTAGCCATTCGGTAAAATAAACTGTGGAAATCCAGCCTCACCCACAGAGACTGCACCCTGAGGAAACACAGAGGAAGGTCTTGCCCCCTGGCTTCTCCGGCCCAGAAGTTAGTCTGTATTTGCCCCAGGCCAGAGGAAAATTGCTGAGAGAGATCCCTGTGTTGGGTGCTTCAGTGCATATACTCAATCTGCGCACATCCCTAGAAGTCAGGTGGTGGTATTCTGCCTATTGGACAGATGAGAAAACTGAGGCTTAGGAAGGTTAAGGAACTCCCCCATTGGTGAGTGAGGGTGTATGATTTGGAGCATACTCAGCCATCACTGTACCGCCTTCCTGTGCCACACTGACTGGTCCCAGCTGCCCCTTTCAGTTACAGGAGCTAAAAAACCTCTAGGAGCTGACACAGAAGGATGGCAGAGGTGCTGAGCACATCTTCTAGTGAAGGAGGGACCAAGGTTGAGAGGGGGTGGGGCAGCCGTGTGGACCTGTGTCGATTTCTTTTTTTTTTTTTTAATTGTTTCAGGTTAATTGAGGGCACAAAGAGTTAGGTTATAATGTTTGCATTTGTTAGGGAAAGTCCCTCCTATAATTGTGTCCTGCCCCCGAGAAGTGTGCCATACACCCTAACATTGTGCCCATGAAGTGGGAACACACCCATCTCCCTCTTCTCTCCCCACTTCCTCCTTCCGCCCCCCCAATTGATTTGAGTTTGGGGGCGTGTATTAGATCGTCTACTGGCTTCATTTTAGAATTGAGTACCTTGGATTCTTGCTTCCCTATTCTGGTGATAATTTACTAAGAAGAAAGTGTTCTAACTCCCTCCAGGTTAATACAAAAGATGTAAAGCCTCCATGTTTTTTAATGGTTGACCTCTGTCAGTTTTAATTCCATTTGGTAGAAGATAAACATGAAATTTCCTACTTGTAGTTATGTTTTGAATGGGCTACAGACTGCTTCAATTGCCACGTCTGCTCTTTAAAGGGAGTACAAGTCCTAGTAAGTAAATACCTGGTCTTCCCATTCATGAAGCTAGTTTTAAACAGAGAACATAGACTATCGACCGTTTATTACCCCCGAAATAGGTGCAAAACACTCCAAAAACAGCACAGCGTAAATTATTCAAACAGAACCAAAAAGTAAAGGTTAAAATACCCAGAAATTGGGATTCAATGAAAGTCATCTTCGTTCCTTGCGAGCACCCGCACCCAATTATTTTCTTTTATACCTTTTTAAAGAATTATGTGTCATCTCTCACAGAGCACCCTCTCTGATGGTTTCATTGTAGAAACTCTGTAAACTTTCATTGTAGACAACTGTCATGTTTATAAAAAGGATAAGATTTGAAAATAAATGATAAAACTCCGTGTGTCTACAGTAGGCTTTTTGTCATGGTACCGCCACATGTTAGCACCTATCGCTTCAGAACTGCCCTGGGAGAGAACAGTTTTATAGACACAGAGGGCACATTTCAAATTCATCTCGAAGGTGAAGAGAAACCAAATACCTGGACAAAAGAACTTTTCAACCACCTGGGAAATGATGGAAAGGGACGTTGTTACCTCTGTGTGTGTGTGTGTGTGTGTGGGCTCGTACACCCAGCTATATTCACAGCAACCGGACAGGGAGTGGCTGCTGAGAGGAATTACTATTTGTTGTTTTATTTAGACCATCCCACAGGGTAAACTTTTTTTAATCAAGCCACATTAAATATTCATGGAAGATGTATATATTGTTTAAACCACATCTGTAAGACCACATTTTAAATCCTACGCTCGGGAAATGTGCACCTTTTGTTAGAACCATGCCAGGCACAGTTTTCTCCCATACTGATGCCCAACCACATGTGTGAATCTGCTTTGTCCACACCAGGCAACATTGCCTTCAAAAGTGTCCCACAAGGGAAAGGAGAATTTTCAAAACCATTATTTGCTAAAATGAACTTTG